CGTAACGAGGGTGAATGGATCATGGGGCAAATGGCTCCTGGGATATGGAAGGCAAACTTCGTGTGTTGTGTTTTGTCGACTACTTTTCTAAAAGAACAACTAACAAAATGGATTTTTACAATTTAGGTTTTTTCACTCGAAAATTTGAAAATAAAAGTAATCATTTTGTGAAATTCTATTGTATTAGAATACGTGACAATGAGAAATTGGAAACTGATTGTCAAACAGTGTCATGTAGCGCCACCTACTGTCGGTAATTCAGTACATTTCTGAATTACCGACCATAGAGAAGTGCCAGTTGGTTGCAGATTGTCAAATAGTGTTAAGTAATGTAGCGCCAGTCGGTAATTCAGTACATTTCTGATTTACCGACCATAGAGAAGTGGCAGTTGGTTGCAGATTGTCAAATAGTGTCAAGTAACGCAGCGCCAGTCGGTAATTAAGAAAATTTCTGAATTACCGACCATAAAGGGAGTGGCCCTGCGTTACTTGACACTATTTGACAATCTATAACCAACGGCAACTCTTTTATGGTCGGTAATACAGAAAATTTCTGTTTTACCGATAGGCGCTGCGTTACTTGACACTATTTGACAATCTATAACCAACGGCAACTCTTTTATGGTCGGTAATACAGACAATTTCTGTTTTACCGACCGGCGCTGCGTTACTTGACACTATTTAACAATCTGCAACCAACGGCAACTTCTTTATGGTCGGTAAATTCTTCTTTATGGTTCTGAATTACCGACCGTAGGTGGCGCTGCGTTACTCGACACTATTTGACAATCTGCAACCAACGGAAACTCCTTTATACAGTTGGTAATTCAGAAAATTTCTGTTTTACCGACTGTCGCTGCGTTACTTGACAACTATTTAACAATCTGCAACGAGGAAAATTATTTTTCTTTTCTTTTTTTATCCTGTGGCGAGATTCTCTCCTTTTACGATCGAAAAAAAATTCTACTTTGTATTAAATTAGCAGGTTGATTACTTTATATTACACTATGAATTAAAGTCTCTCAAAGAGAGGTACAAGAGAGACTCTTTTAAGCAACATTGTGAGAGAGTAACCGGTTATTACTGTCTGACGATATTGACTTAAGTGAAGCGCGTGTGAAATAAGAACGAGTTTCTGAGAAAGCTGCAGAACACGTTGTTGTATATATATATATATATACTCGATCGCGTGCCAAATTGCCACGTTACAATGACTTCCGCGAAGATCGTTATCTCAACGAATTTCCACGAAGATCGTTATCTCCTTGTTGCAATTTCCCCTCTAAAGTACCTTTTTGCCCTCAAGAGTTTTCTTTTCTTTTTTTTTTTTTGTGTCAATTCCGCGGGGGACCAGTTCGCGAACTATCGTCCAATTTTTTTTTACATATGTACGCCAAGGTCAAGGTGTTTTTTTTCCCCCTATCCAAAGAAATTTCATTCTCTTTCGAATAAATAATTTTTTTTTTCTATTTAAATTTTTTTTTGCAAATTATTTAAACAGAATTTTTTCTTGCTGAAAGTAATTTTTTCTATTATTTTACAGGACTAAATTAATTAGTTAATAAAAAAATCATAAATTCTTTTTTTAAAATAAAAAAAGCAATATAGAAAAAAGTTTGGAAATTTTTTTCGAAGCATCCTTGAAATTTAAAATATTATACATATATATGAAATGCAAGTTTAAAAAAAATCATAAAATTTATATACAGAGAGCGAGAGAATAGAAGAGATGAGTAATGAAATACCACTTGGTGTTTGATAAAAAATAAAAAGAGCGTAAAAATGGAAATTGAATAGAAGTGATACACACAGAGGAATAAATTAAGTGACCAGTGTATGTGTATATATATATATATATATATATATATATACTATATATATAATCAAATAAAACAGCACGATCCTGGTTCAATTAAAATTGTAAAAAGCAGTCCAATTAAAATTATCGATTGGTAACATGTATACGCATTGAAGGACCGTGAGATAGCGATAAATTGAAATGCACCAAGCTTCCCTACTGCCCCCCCCTCTTCCACCAACCCGATACTTCCATTAAGATATCATAATCACGATTAAAAGAGGGAAAAAAAATTAATTTGTCACGACCCAAGTTTCTCTCTCATTTATATATATATATATATAATCGCGGTGTCCTTAATAATAAAAGAGACTTTGAGACGATCGAGAATTTTCTCATCGCGAGGGCAAAAAAAAAACATTTTTATCTTGCTAAAATATTGCATAATTTCTAATATACATTATTCGTATGAGTGATTTTTATGTTCCGAATCCTTAAAAAAAAATTTTTTTTAATTCTATTTTTAAAAAAACCAAAAAAAAATTTTTTTTAAGGGATCTGGAACGTAAAAATTACCCTGTATATTTATTTACTAAAACCGAATACTTTATTTGACTAAATCGTCTTTAATAATAATAATAATAATAATAATAATAAAAAAAATTCAGTCGAAATATCAATTCTAAATCAGATTTCTCAAACTTTCTCTCGTCAATTTCTCCTCTGAATCATCATATGAATTTGACGATTCGAGATAGAGGAGAAATTATACGAATCTGCCAAAAAATAAAATTTACCAGAACTAAAAAATTTCACTATGGTACCGGTTACTTTGGTACCGGTTTTACTATGGTAACGTTTACATTGGTACCAGTTAACTTTAGTACCATTCAGTTACTATGGTACCAGTAACTTTAGTACTATTTAGTTATTATTTTACCAGTTACATTGGAACATTGGTACCAGTTACTTTGGTACCAGTTATTTTGGTACCGGTTAGATTGGTACCAGTTACTTTGGTACCGGTTAGATTGGTACCAGTTACTTTGGTACCGGCTAGATTGGTACCAGTTACTTTGGTACCAGTTTCTTTGGTACCAGTAACTTTATTACTACTTAGTTACTATGGTACCAGTAATTATAGTACCATTTAGTTACTATGGTACCGGTTAGATTGGTACCAGTTACTTTCGTACCGGTTAGATTGGTACCAGTTACTTTGGTACCGGCTAGATTGGTACCAGTTACTTTGGTACCAGTTTCTTTGGTACCAGTAACTTTATTACTACTTAGTTACTATGGTACCAGTAATTATAGTACCATTTAGTTACTATAGTACCGGTTAGATTGGTACCAGTTACTTTCGTACCGGTTAGATTGGTACCAGTTACTTTCGTACCGGTTAGATTGGTACCAGTTACTTTGGTACCGGCTAGATTGGTACCAGTTACTTTGGTACCAGTTACTTTAGTACCATTCAGTTACTATGGTACCAGTAACTTTAGTACTACTTAGTTACTATGGTACCAGTTAATTTGGTACCAGTTACTTTGGTACCGGTTACATTGGTACAAGTTACTTTGGTACCGGTTAGATTAGTACCAGTTACTTTGGTACCGATTAGATTGGTACCAGTTACTTTGGTACTAGTTACTTTAGTACTAGTTACTTTAGTACTAGTTGCTTTAGTACCATTTAGTTACTATTTTACCAGTAACTATAGTACCATTTAGTTACTATGGTACCAGTTACTTTGGTACCAGTTACTTTGGTACCAGTTACTTTGGTACCGGTTACATTGGTACCAGTTACTTTGGTACCGGCTAGATTGGTACCAGTTACTTTAGTACCATTCAGTTACTATGGTACCAGTTACTTTGGTACCAGTTATTTTGGTACCGGTTAGGTTGGTACCAGTTACTTTGGTACTAGTTACTTTGGTACTAGTTACTTTAGTACCATTTAGTTACTATTTTACCAGTAACTATAGTACCATTTAGTTACTATGGTACCAGTTACATTGGTACCAGTTACATTGGTACCAGTTACATTGGTACCAGTTGCTATGGAAACGGATGCTATAGAAACGGTAGCTATTGGTGCGGTTACTATGGATACGGTTACTATGGATACAGTTGCTATGGAAACGGTTGCTTTTGAAATTAAAGTTACAATTTTAACGAGCACGGAAAAAAATCTTAATACCTAAAACAGGCGATAAGTTTCACTGAAACAGCTAAATTTCACTAAAATGTAAAAAAAAGTTGTCGTTATTCTACAAAAAAACATATCGCTGTTATAGATAAAGATTTTTTTACGTGAGAGAAAAAAAATTAAAAAAAAAAAGTAATGCGGATCTAGTCGAGAAAATTTGTAATGCTCTCCATATTTGGGAATATGGTTTTTCTGCGCCATCAATATAATTTTTTTTTCTGTTCTTTTTTTTTTTTTTTAGTTCGCGGATATTCGCAGTTGATGCGACATTAATTTTCCATGGCCACTTTGACGGCGATTGCTTTAAACGGCGCCGCAGTTCTTTCTTCTCCAGCGAAACGGAAAGCGCGCTGTGTGCAGATAAATCGAACGATCGCAGAAAATTTATTGTCGCTGGAGCAGGCGATAAACTTCCTGATATACGAGCCAATACGTTAATTCGGCGCACCATTTAACCGTTGCATAAATACAGTCCTGCTTAATGCTCTAAACGAATCATGGTGGTTTCAATATATATATATATATATATATATAAAAAAAAGGGGGGAAAAAAATACAAAAATATATATCACTCTTGACTAACTCCTCCGGATGCATTTTATCTCCGTATTTTTATAAATCCAATTTTATATATTCGTTTTTTCCTTCGTTCAATTGTCATTAAATTATTATTTTTTTTCTCTATAAATTACTGTCAAATTTTTTTTTGAATAATAAACCATTCTTTTTACTGATTTTAGTAAAAAAAAAATGAGAAATTTCCCCTAATTCTTTATTTTTTGTTGATTATTAAATTAAAGAATTATTGGGAAAAATATGTTTTTGAATGAAATAAAAATTTTGACGCTTATCTCTTTCTCTAAAAAAGCATCTGTCAAAATTGTAATTCAAAGTTGAAAATAATTCCCTTGGTGAAAAATGTTTTTGTGTGAACATTTTCAGTTGACGTGAGTGAAATAAAATTTACAAAAAAAAAGAAAACACTTACATTGGGTACATTGTAGCTGTTGTACTGCTCTTTGGGACTGCCGCCACCTGTCTGCTCACACTGCTTGTTCTTGAAGGCTCTGTAGTTTTCTCTGAGCTGCTTACCGTACTGTAACAAAAATAAAGACTCGTTTTTAGAACATGAGAATTCTTCATTTTCGAACGTCATACAACATAACTTCATTTATATCAGAGAATGTATTAAAAAATAAAAGGAAAATAATACTAAAAAAAAAAATATATGAAAAATTATAAAAAATATAATAAAAAATGAAAATAATAAAAAAAAATATAGAAAGGGATAAAAAAAAACTGATTAGTACTTGTGAGAGGATTCAAATTACAGATGCCAAAGGGCAGAGTGGATTTTAATAAACAGGATGAGCAACGAAATAGGAAACCAAAAGAAGGTAGTCGAAAGAAAACATATAATTAAAAAAAAATAATACCAATATTGAATTACATGGAACCGAATATTCCGATCTGGAGAGAAAGACTTGGCTTTTAAAATCAGGAAACTGCCTTGTAATTATAAGGCAAAAAAAAAAAAGAGGGATAAGGCAGTTAACCTTTTTTTTCCCCCCCTCTTCTATATAAGGATTCTCTCGCCCGTTTCAGAAAATTATATTTACTCAACTCGAAACAGAATTTATTGTTTCATTAGAAAAACAATTGAGGGAATTACGGTTCTTTACAAATCTTTTCTATTCTATATAATTTCATTTAAAGAATAAAAAGCACTTTTCAAGAAACAATATTGTTATTAAATTGAAAAATAATATATCAAAATAAAAAAAATTTTAAACAATATTTAAAAAAATATATTAAAAAAAACACGAAGAAAAATGGAAAAACGAATAAAGTAACTTTTACTATACTTTAAAAGTAAAAATGCAATTTTCCGCAGTTACTGCGCATTTCTGACAATTTTCACTCCAGAAATAGTGAAATTTACTATTTCCGGAATAATTTTTACTATTCCTGGAGTAAATTTTAGTATTTTCGGAGTAAAATTTAGTATTTTTGGAGTAAATTTTAGTATTTTTGGAGTAAATTTTACTATTTCTGGAGTAAAAATTGACAATAATGCGCGACAGTAATTTTAATATTTTCGGAGTAAATTTTAGTATTTTTGGAGTAAATTTTACTATTTCTGGAGTAAAAATTGACAGTAATGCGCGACAGTAATTTTAATATTTTCGGAATAAATTTTAGTATTTTTGGAGTAAATTTTACTATTTTCGGAGTAAATTTTAGTATTTTTGGAGTAAATTTTATTATTTTCGGAGTAAACTTTAGTATTTTTGGAGTAAATTTTAGTATTTTTGGAGTAAATTTTACTATTTCTGGAGTAAAAATTGACAGTAATGAGCGACAGTAATTTTAATATTTTCGGAGTAAATTTTAGTATTTTTGGAGTAAATTTTACTATTTTCGGAGGAAATTTTAGTATTTTTGGAGTAAATTATACTATTTTTGGAGTAAACTTTAGTATTTTTGGAGTAAATTTTACTATTTCTGGAGTAAAAATTGACAGCAATGCGCGACAGTAATTTTAATATTCTCGGAGTAAATTTTAGTATTTTTGGAGTAAATTTTACTATTTTCGGAGTAAATTTTAGTATTTTTGGAGTAAATTTTACTATTTCTGGAGTAAAAATTGACAGTAATGCGCGACAGTAATTTTAATATTTTTGGAGTAAATTTTACTATTTTCGGAGTAAATTTTAGTATTTTTGGAGTAAATTTTACTATTTTCGGAGTAAACTTTAGTATTTTTGGAGTAAATTTTAGTATTTTTGGAGTAAATTTTACTATTTCTGGAGTAAAAATTGACAGTAATGCGCGACAGTAATTTTAATATTCTCGGAGTAAATTTTAGTATTTTTGGAGTAAATTTTACTATTTTCGGATTAAACTTTAGTATTTTCGGAGTAAAATTTAGTATTTTTGGAGTAAATTTTACTATTTCTGGAGTAAAAATTGACAGTAATGCTCAGAAACTGCGGAAAATTCCAGTTTTACTTTTAAAGATACTAAAAGTTACTTTATTCGTTTTTCCATTTTCTCCCGTATATATTTAAAAAAATATATTAAAAAATTGTTTAAAACAAAATTTAAAAATGTTAAAATTTTTTTTTTTTAATTCAAAAATGGTCACGACAAAATTCGCAATTGAACAACAATTGAAAGTGTTTATAATGAATGTAAAATTGGCTTTTTGAAAAACGAATGATGGTCAAAGTTGTTTTGACGAATTTTAGACACAATATACTATATATATTCGCACATTGCACACCTGGTGTATGCAGAATTGTTTATCGGGGCGGAAATCGATCGAAATCGAAATGTGGCAGTCCGCACAATAGGCCAGACCGAAGATAATTTAATGGTATATATATATATATATATATAGTAGAGAAGGAGAGGTTGGGGGTGGGGTGGTACGGCCCCCTTTTCGTCGAATCAAAGTTTCGTAATTTCCTGCGTTACGTTTGCCTCGGTACTTCACACCTCGCACTCGACCGTTACCTATATATATATATACATATATAAATTCTAGTTTGCAATTTAAATCTCTTATCTTTTGTGAACTAGAACTGCAAACTTTAACTCCTAAAGTAACAATTAAGTCGCCCCCAAAGATTCCAAAAGGGGAACATTTTCAAACGTTCGAGAAACATACATCACGCGAGAAGATTTTCATTTCACTTCCTCTCTCTCTCTCTATATATATATATATATGTATAAATAAAAAAAATTAAATTACACACTCTTTGGTTGAAATAATTCATAGAGGGGATTGGCAAAAATAATTTAATCTATTTTCAAAGTGTTGTTATAATTACAGGGTGTAGTCCCTAGAAATGAATAATAGGGAAATAAATTACGTTTATAGCAGCAATTTAAGAGATTATTCAATAGGGAAAATTGATTTTCTTCGAATTTCCATTTTTATTTTTAATTATAAACAAAAAACAATATTTTTCAATTTCTTCAAAAATCGCATAATAATAAAATAATAATTCACTCTACCAAAAATTGACAGAATTCACTATTGGCGCGGTACTGGTACCAATATCGCGCCAGTAGTCAATTTTTGATAGGGTATAAACAGAAAAAATGGAACGATAAAATTTATAATCGATGTAAAATTGTCGTTCTTAGTTAGAATTGCAGGAAAGAGAGTTGTACGAAAATTGGATAAATTTCGTATGCACGTATATGTATATATATATATATATATATATATATATGTATAAAGTGCAAGAGAGAGAGAAAGGACAGGTGTAAGTGAGGTGGTGCGACAGGCAATTCAAGACTGTGTGCGGGAATGTGGGTGTGGACCATGGTATGACCCGCCGTATCGACCCATAAGGCTGGCGGACACATAACGGATGAACAGACTGAACTATGTTACAAAACCGATAGACTTGTCTACCAACTTTCCTTCAAAAGCTTCTCACTCTTCAAAAAAAGAAAAAAAAATGAATAAATAATAAATAAATAAAGGAGAAATTTGTCCTCAAGTTTCATTAGCAATTTCCCAGTAATTACATTAAATTTTCATGCTATTTTTTTTCAAGTCCAATATCGTCCAACAATCGATTCAATATACTCATCGCGAGTTGAATAAAATTGTCTTTGGAGAATTTACAATAATTATTATTACATCTATTTGCAATTTTGAATCGTTTTGTTTATTTATTTTACTTGTTTGTTTATTATTCTGCTAATTTAATTATTTAGTTTATTTACTTATTTCTATTATTTAGTTTATTTATTTACTTCCTTCTTTTATTTATTTATATTTTTTTAATTATTTGGTTTATTTATACTTTTGTTTAATTATTTGGTTTATTTTTGTTTATCTTTTTTATTATTTATTTATCTTTTTTATCATTCATTTATTTTATTTACCTATTTTTATTATTTATTCAGTTTATTTACCTATTTTTCTGTTATTTATTTAGTTTTTGTATTTTCTTTGTTTATTTATATATTTTTTTTAATTATTTGGTTCCTTTACTCTTTTGTTTAATTATTTAGTTTATTTATTCTTTTGTTTAATTTTATTCCTTTATTTATTCTGGTCATTTAGTTATTTTAATTGGTTTATTTTTTCTATCTTTTTTATTATTTATTTAATTTATTTATCTATCTTTTGTTATTATTTATTTAGTTTATTTATGTATTTTTTATTATTCATTTAGTATATTTGCCTATTTTTATTATTTTATTTATTTATTTCCATTGCTCTATTTTCTATTTGTTTTTTTTTATTTTTTGGTTTATTTACCTTTTTGTTTAATTATTTGTTTAGTTTATTTATTAATCTTGTTTTTATTATTTATTAAGTTTTTTCTGTTTATTTACTTTCTCCATTTATTGTATTTTTCATATTGTTTATTCAATTATTTATTTAGTGCTATTCTGTTTTTTTATTTTGTTCATTCATTTCATTCAGTTGAATATTAAATTATTATTATTATTATTATTATTATTATTATTATATTTTAATAACCATTATTATTACTATTTATTTAAATTATTAAACGCCTACGTACTACTAGAGAAAAAATCCCAAGCGCCGGGAATCGAACGCACGACCCTAAGATTCGCAGACCGATACTCTAACCACTTGACCACGAACGCACATACAAAAATTTGTACGATACTAGAAGACATTTTTACTATACAAATGAGCTTCTTTAAATCTTTATTATTATTATTATTATTATTATTATTAACTACACGCCTTATTAAATACAAATTACTATATTTTATAAAAAAAAAATTATTTTATAAAAAACATATTGCTTTATAAAAAAACCTATTATTTTCCAATAAAAAAACAAATTATTTTCAATAATAATAGAAAAATACAAGTTTCTTTAGAAAAATTTAAAAAATATAAAATTCGAACGTAAATTCCAACCCCAAAGGTATAACGTGGGCGAATGTCGATAATGTATTTCCGTCCTTCACGACATATAGTGGTTGGGGGTTCCGGGGAAAGAGAATGAGAATACGGAGAGAAAGAGAGAGAGAGAGAGAGATGAACAATATATTTAAAAAAAATAATCTTATAGTGAAATAATATTTATATATATATATTTTTTCGACAGAGAGAAAAGTCGCGAAAGGTCAGAAGACTAATAATTTGAAAGCCCCCGAGGTCTTCTGGCATCGTATGTGCCATAGTATTATGTTGACTCTCGGAGCAAGTTGATGGGAGAGCTGTATATATATATATATGTATATGGAAAGAGAAAAACCCAACCAGAGTTGGGACAGAACTCACGTGTGACACGAAATATAATCCCAGGAACGTTGTTATGGTTACGCTTTCGAAACGACTTGGATGCTAAGTGCATAGATATGTATCCAGCTTAAGCAGATGACACTAATTGAAACCATCTCCGAGTGTCACTGACTCTCCAAACAAGTTATAGAATTATTATTATTATTATTTTAGAATTTTATTATTTTCCATGATTGATTTTATAAATTTTTTTTTTTTTTTTTTTGTATCGACAATTATTATAGAAGGAGAAATGGAGAAAAGAAGCGAGGAAATGATGGAAGATGAAATATGGACGAGGCGATTGTTTAGAAAAAGCTAAAAAAAAAAAAATTGGAGACTGGTTATGGTCTTAAAGCCTTGGAGGCTCTTCAGATTTTGTTTTTTTTTTTTTATCTTATGGTTCATAGATGAAAGCGCGTTGCAAGGCCCACCCTAAGAAATGGCTAAGTACTACCTTGTGTGCCATCCTTGGTAAAGGGGGCGTTCTCTTACAACCAAGAAAGAAGCAGATCAGAGTGAGGAAAATTATCAGGTACAAGACAAAAAATTGAAAAAAAAAAAATATTTTAGAGAAGTCAATCATAAAAAAAAAACAATAGAAGGCTATTTTTAAAATATCATCAAAACGAGAGATGATTTTAAACAATTGTAAATATTACAGATCTAAATTTATTATTTTTTTTCTGTTTTAATTTTTTAGTAAATATATATTTCTTGTAGAAGAAAAGAATTCTCGTTAAGAAAATTGTCGCTTCGAGACACAATTCTCATTTTGTTTTTCTTATCTTTCAATTTTGTCGGAAATCTTTTTCCCATGATTCATATTCGCTTTTGTTTCGTGTATTTCTAATATGCATTTTCCGCCGTGGTAATTATCTATGAGAATTTTGTGAAAAAATTTTTTTTTGTTTTTAATTTATAAGAATTTATAATAAACCGAAAAATCAAAATTTCCGATACAATTTTGTCCGAAATTACAATAAATGACCGAACAAAACAATCGACGCGATTTTCAAAAATTCAAACAATCAGAAATTGATTTTTAAAAATCGCAATTCTTTCTGTCGATTATTTTTTCGGTCATTTGCAAATTTCGGACAAATGAAAATTGTATCAGAAAATTCTTTAGTATGAAAAATTAGAATTTCTTATACAATTCTGTATGAAATTACAAATGACCGAACGATTTTCAAAAATTAACGAATCAAAAAATTAATTTTAAAAATCGCAATTCTTTCTGTCGATTATTTTTTCGGTCATTTGCAGTTTCGGGCAAATGAAAATTAAATTCTGCCGAATAAAAATTGTTTTAAAAATGGAAAATTTAGAAAAAAGAAATTAGGAAATTTAATGCAATACCTATATGGTAAATTCTGAAGTAAAATGACTTCCGTAAAACGGGAGTCTCTATGAACTGCATCTCTCCTATTATGCCACTCTTTAGAGTTCTATTCTTCTTGGGTTGGAAAGTGTAGACTCAAAGTCATTCTCGAGTGTCGACTTCCTCTCTCTCTCTTTCTCTCTATTGGACTTCCTAGGACGGTATATAGTATATACCCGACATTACAAACTTCATCAGCAGAGAAAAGCAATTTCGAGAGGCCAACCAACCCGAGCAGAATTGACGCATTTGTTTATATCCCTTTCTCTCTTTCTCTCTCTCTCTCCTCTCTATTCCATAACTCGATTTTCCACCCTTTTCATCGTTGATTACGTAACACGTCATTTCCATCTATATACGCGCGCGACTGAGACAAAATCATCCACTCATCCGTAATATTTTCATTATTCATTTTCCATTCGTTTTCTGATAGTAGTTTTTATCGTTCTTCGGCGGGGAATTTTTTTTTAACTTTATCCTGTCCTCGAAAAAATTCAACCCTGACTTTCTTTCATCTGTTATTTTTTTTTTTTTTTTGATTAGGGATCAATAAAAATTAAAATCTTTAATTTAAATTTCCTTCATTTATTTAATTATTGAAATCAATTTTTTGTGCCAAATTTGCGAATAAAAAGGTTGAGAAGTTTAATTAAACATTTAAGACATATTATTTAAGTATAAGTGGCTGTGTGGTCAGAGTACACGATTCGCGTCCCAAGGGTCCTGGGTTCGATCCCCCGCGTGCTAGTTTTTTTTCAAAACTATTCTTTAACTGTTTTAGGGAGCGTTCACAAATTACATAACGTTTTTTTTAAAATTTTGACCCCCTCCCTCCCCATGTAACACGTTATTGCATACATTAGCGCCATTTTTTCTGCTGTCCGTAACAAAGTGCTTGACCCCCCCCCCTCCCCCAAAAAATGTTACGTAATTTTTGAACGCTCCCTTATACCAATTATTGAAAAAATCGACAAAATTATTGAATTTAAAAACAAAATCTGGAACAATGGCGCACTCGCGATTAATTTTGTATAAGAACCGTTTCAAAGAAGAAGGGAAAATAATTTTTTTTTCGCATCAGATTTAAAAAATAAATTGTAATGATAGTTAGAAATCATTCGGTAAATATTTGTACTAAATATTATCGCGCGTCGATAAACAAGTTACCGACCGTGCAGCACAAAGACGTAGTACCCGATTTCGCCGCGCGGGCCGCATCGCCAAAGCTCACTCGTGTGCGCCTAGCCCACCGATCGGCTATATAAGCTGCGCTCTCGCTGAGGACCGTCACTCTCGTGCTACACTCTTTAAATCTGAATTAGTAAAAAAATTTACTAATTTGAATTAGTAACTCACTTTTTGCTTCTCAATTAGTAAAATTTTACTAATTATTAGTAACTTTAACTAACAATTAGTAAAATTTAACTAATTCTAAAGCAAAAAGTGAGTCACTAATTTAAATTAGTAAACAGTTTTACTAATTTAGATTTGGAGAGCACGGAGTCCGGGTGGGTCTTACCCACCTGACTAGGAGTTTTACTCCGAAAATCTTTGTAGAGAGTTTTACTCTCGTTCATCGGGTTTTACCCGTCGAACATTATATCGGTTTTATGTGTAAATAGCACGGAGTCTGGGTGGGTCTTACCCACCTGACTAGGAGTTTTACTCCGAAAATCTTTGTAGAGAGTTTTACTCTCGTTCCTCGGGTTTTACCCGTCGAACATTATATCGGTTTTATGTGTAAATAGCACGGAGTCTGGGTGGGTCTTACTCACCTGACTAGGAGTTTTACTCCGAAAATCTTTGTAGAGAGTTTTACTCTCGTTCGTCGGGTTTTACCCATCGAACATTATATCGGTTTTATGTGTAAATAGTGTATAGTAACGAATTGTAAAGTAACGTAATGTATAGTAAAGAAATATTGTAAAGTAACGTATCAAGAGGTAAAATAACGTAACAAATGTATAGTAAAGAAATGTTGTATTCCCGCAGTTTAAAGTAAATTTTCCGTTTTATTATCGTTTGTAGATATACTTAGGAGTTTTACTCTTCGTATAATTAGAACACGAGTTTTACTCGTAGTTCACCAGAATATCGCGAATTTTTAGGCAGTATTACAATTGATTTCGCGGCTCATCGCTGCGAGTTGAAGCCGATTTCGTTAATGCGCGGCTCAAATAAGCGACGTTACCAGATTGGTGCCGAATCTCGATTCCGCGGCTCAACGTATCGCGATAGACGCCGACAATCGTTGTGTAAAACCGACTTCCACGATTTATCTGTACGCCTGTATATTTTTCACCAGTAAATATCGTTGTAAATAAATAATTTGTTTCAGTTTGTAATTAACCCGTAATTATTTTTGTTGGAATCAAAATGAACCCTGACTCGGCGAGCTAAAATATTGATTCTTACAATTACAAACGTTACAAAATATAGGAAAAATTGTTTTCCAAAAACACGTTTTTCGTAATAAAATTGTAGTAAAAAGAAAACATATTGAGAGATAAAAAAAAAAGTCTGCTTTTTTTTCGTGAGACTCACCTTTGCCAGCCTCATGGCTGTGAGCCAACAGGCACGTGACTTTTCACTGTGGAAGGCTATCACTTTGAATCCGGCTTCACCAGCTTCCGTGTCTTCTGCTTCTGCGTTGCTCGATGGTCTCAGACAAATGCCCCACTCGAAGGGTGCGTTGAAGTACCTCTTTGCGTTCGGAATCCTGTATACGTGGTAGTCCGACAAGTGGGCAAATGTCGTCAGCTGTTCGTTGTCCTGAAACCGGAAATTATTATTCTCCATTAGTCATTTTTTTTTTTTTTTTTTTATTAATAATTCGCAAAAAAAATTTATATAAAAATATATTCAAACATTTATCTAAAAAATTACATTTTTTATTGTAATAAATATTCACAATTTTTTTTTAATTTTATATTTCTTTTACAAGTATTGGTATTTAAAATTGTATTTACAATTTTTACAATTATATTAACAATTATATTTACAAGTATATTTACAATTATTTGGGTACATTATATATATTATAATAGAAGTCACCGTGGCTGCGTGGTCATTTGCATCATTTTCGTCTAAAAAGGTATGGGGTTCAATTCCCCATGCGTGCAAAAAAATTTATTCCTTTAATTACATATACTGTATAATTATACTGAAACAAATTTTACATAAATAATAATTGAGACAAATTTTATAATATTAATTATTAAATAATATATTATTATTTTTATAAATATTATTTTCATAAATTATAATATAATTTAATATATTTAATATATTATATTTAATAATAAATAAAATAAATTTTCCTTCATAAATGAATGAAAAAAATATTCATTTTACATAAGAATTACATAATAAAATACAATAAATCGTATTTTACTCTAATTTTAAGCTTCTCCCCTAACCTTGTTTCAAAATTTTATTGAAAGGATATATTGTTTTCAATATTGAAAGTTAATTTTGGAAATCAACGTCTCTGGTGTTATCTAAACATTTTATTGTCTTGAACAATAATAAGTTCTGCTTCTAAATTCGTATTTATTAATATTTCCTTATTTTTATTGCAATATTGAAAAAGACATGATTTTATTTCCGTTTATATAAACTGTATAAATTATCATTTTTATTTTTAAATTTATTCCTATTTTATTTATACCAATGTTAAATAATTATTACTTTTTTTTAAAAATGAATTTTTATTTTTACTGACAAATTTTTATAATTATTTTTATTCTCATTATAAAAAAAATAAAAATATTTTTATTCTTATTTATTCTTATATTTTTTTTCTTATGAAAAGAATAAAAATAATATTAACAAAAATTAATAATAATAATAATAATTTCCATGAGAGTTTAATTAAGGGTATAAAAGACAATCATGAATTATCTAAGTAGGAGTTATATAATTTACATTCTCTTTCATTAACAGAAAGCAAAATCCTAAATTTAGCAATCCAAGAGCCGCACACGTTTCTACGAATGGCTCATGAAAGTAAACGATTTAGTTTCAAAGCGAACCAAATCTCCAGATGAGAACGCTGCTTTTCGAGGAAACACATACATACACACACACATATATATATATACACAAATCGCGTCTTTTAGGATTAAACTACGATATAAATGTTGAGGATTTCATTCATGATCAAGAAAAAGAAAAAATAATCTACAAATCGAAAAGCAATTGTAATATAAAATTTCTCAAATGATAAATAATAACAATTTTCTATTATTTTTTTTAAATTCAGAGAAATGGGTCTCCGAGCCTAATAATTTATTTGTTGCAACTATATTTTATTTTATTTAAATAAAAAATTTATTTAAGCCAAGGAAAAATTTATTTAGGTCAAAGAAAAATTTATTTGAGCCAAAGAAAAATTTATTTATGACAAATAAAATTTTTATTTACGCCAAATAAATAAGAAATTTATTTATGACAAATACAATTTTTATTTACGCCAAATAAATAAGAAATTTATTTATGATAAATAAAATTTTTATTTACGCCAAATAAATAAATTAGTAGATTCTAAGATAAATTATATTCTATTTGGTTCAAATAAATCATTTCTCTAGGTGTAATTATAACAAAATTAAAAATTAATTAAAATATTAATACAATTTGGAGTATATATATATATATATTTTTTTTTTTATTTTAATTCGGTATGTTAATCTAATTATATATATACGATTCCTAATACAAATCGTTAAATTTCGCAGGATCTTTAAAGATGAAAATAAAAGCAATTGATAGCTTGATTACCATTTTAATGATCGTTAATATTAACGACCCAGATTGAGAATAGGCGAGACCGTAAATGTTCAGTAGTAATTGATGATTACTATCAGTCCAGTATAACGGTAAATTGGACTATTTCAACATAAACATATATATATATACGTGACAAGAAATCGTTAAATTTGTGAAAATCTTACAAAAATTGTAAATTAAACCGCGATCATTTATATTAAATTCAAATATAGAAAAAAAGTTTAACAAAACCAAAAAAATTAATTTTTCAAGAAAGGGACCTTAGAGGCAAAAAAAAGTTTAAGGTTATGTTTAGTGATAGTTTTACTTTGATTAAATCATTATTTTTAATTATGTAAAATTAAAATCTTTATTAAACATTTTTGAAGTAATGAAAATTTAAAAATCAGTGATTTATATTAAGAGTTGATGTTCTTTGTTTATTTTCACTTCAAAAGTCAGAAACATAACCTTAAATTTTTTTGCAGCTACGGTCCCTTTTACCGTAAAACGTTAAAAATGGTATTTTTAAATCCTGAATGTTTTTTAAAATTACAGTGGTACACTGAAAAAAAATTTTGATTTAAATAATCGATTAGTTGACTATTATCAAATAAATATTTATTTCTAACAAATATAAATATTTATTTCTAGCAAATAAATATTATTAATTCGTCAATTAAATGGTATTTGCTTCAAATACAGAAATTATTGGTTTGAAATACACAGTTTATTTATTTCAATTATATGTTTGATTTTAAAAATTATTTGCTTCAACACCCAGAGAAATGATTTATTTGAACCAAATAAAATATATATTTGAGTTAAATAAACATATACTTGTCTCAGAGCCTACTAACTTATTTATTTGGCGTAAATAAAAATTTTATTTTGTCAGAAATAAATTTTTCTTTGGCTCAAATAAATTTTTTATTTCAATGAAATAAAATATATTTGCAACAAATAAATGAGTTAGTAGGCTCGGAGACAAATATACCATTTCTCTGAGTGAAGTAAATATTTATTTGATAATAAGTAACTGATTATTTGAATCAAATAAATTTTTTTTTTATTCAGTACATAATTTCGAGAAATAAATTTTTTTTTTCCTCATCACATTTAAATGTTATTGAATTTTTATATATTTGAACTTTCATGTCTTGTTAAAGTATCAAAAAATTGCATAAGTTGGTTGTTATGAATTGTTGAAATTCACAAGATTTGTCCCATTTTTATTAAATTTGAAATTTCTGCCACGTCTCAGTAACTCGTCACACGTGTATATGTGCAACTCATATATATATATATATATAAATATACGCGACACGCATGCTGGTGCAAAATGCAAGAGACATCGTCAATATGTCACTTGCCACCTAACGGCCAATGGTATATCGATCCATCGAAAATCTCTAATGGCATTTCACCACTATAATAATCTCTATATATTAATGTATATAATCCGCAATAATAATTCATATGTATAAATTAATAATAATCATTACTACAAGTATTATTATTACTAATAATAATAATATTATTATTATTATTATTTTAATTATTATTATTGTTGTTGTAATAATAATTTTTGAAAAATAAATGTTGAATTTTCTTCACCGAAAAAACGATATTCTAATTTTAAGAATTTTCAACTTATTTTAAGAATATGCGAGACTTAAATAGGCGCCACAAATATATTCTTCACTTTTTTAGAATATAATCTTAAAATAAGTATATTTTCTTCTTGTATCAAGAAATATACTTTTAGCAGTTTTAAGAATACTATAAACTTAATTTAAGAATAGTAAATACTTAATTTTAAACCAAAATATACATAATTTCAAATAAAGAAAAAGTACAGCATTTTTATTTTAAAAATATTACTTTTATTAAAGTTTTCAAAAAAGAACACAATTTTAATACTTAAAGACAATGTTAACCAATTGTCGAACATTTTTTTCAATTTGGGATCACAAAAACTTAAATTACGTAGATAAGATTAAGAAACGCAATAATATTTTTTTTATAAATTTTTAAACGTGAAAAATTAAAAAAACAAGCTAGCAGCACGTCAATTCTAGCGCATATTCTTGTTTTAAGAAGAAGAAGATTTAGTACATAGAAAATATTCTTAAAGTTAGAATCTGCTTAAGAATATTATTAAGAATATTTATGTAAGAATATAACATTCTTAAAACTAGAATATTTTAAGAATATTTTTAAGAATCTTTTTTTAAGAAAATAATAATCTTAAAACTAGAATACCGTTTTTTCGGTGTTTGTTTTATACCAATATTATTCAATGGAAATAATTACGATTTTTTTGTTGTACGTTGCGGAAATTTGAAAATTACTTTCCTCTTTGAATTTTTTTTTCTTTTTTTGCTTCTTTCTTTCTATGTAACGCGCTATATAAAAGGGCCAAGTGTAATAAGAATGTGATCGAGTGCAAACAACTCATCGATCACCTGACGAAAGATTGGCTTTTGAAAGTGTCAGTAAAAAGGTCATGCACCTCTATTTTATATATACCGGTTATCTCTTTTTCCCTTGCTTCTTTCCTCCTTTTCCCCCCTCACTGTACTTCCATTCTGATTCTTGGTACACTCTATTCGCTTTTTTGTGTGTATATATATATAATATATATACGAAGAAAATTCTTAACGATAAGTTATTACTTTCAAAGATACATATATCACTCTCGCAAGTAATTATTCCCCTTGATCAGACGCCGATAATTAAAGTTTCTTGACAAAAAAAAAAGAAGCAAAAAAAAATTATTTCTTTCATTCTAAATGAAACGTATACTTGCAAAATTGACGATGATTCTTAATTGTATATATATATATATATAGGTATAAGTAAGATCATAATTTTCATTTTTTTTTTAAATTCATCTCACGTGAAAACTGATCTCATATATATGTGTATGGCTTGTAAATATATTCAAAAGGCGTTATAATTCACTCAATTTTATATGCTTTGATAGGTTTCATTAAATT